GTATATGGTCCATAATTAATGTACCTTATGGAAACACAGACGTTCCAAACAACATTATTGACATACTGTGGGATACACACATTATGCATGTACTTGTAATGAACACTGTGTTCCAACAGACTCTAATATTTTGAATCTCGTAAATTCTGGTGGTATGTAATTAATATTGTAATAAACTGTGCATATCTTTTTTGATCATTTCTGCTTCTTCATTGTAAAAGTCAATGACGACGCAACTAATTTCTTAATTTTATTTCCCCTCAAAAACGTAATATCAATGTGTCACATGATGAATTAAAATTGTCATTTTCACTCTTTTCTGAAGGGGGTACTCGGGACCCTGAGTACTAACACGGTCCAGTACGGTAATATCAGATGGAATCATACAATGTAATTTATTGAATAAAACCATCAATTTTGTCAGATGGAACAGAAATTATTGTGATGTTCAGTGGTGCATAGTAACCTATAAATAAACTATAAATAAACATTAGACTTGAATTGTCTCCAAGATCACAAGACTTGTTTTTGACTCTTATATAATGCCCCCCCCCTCCTTCATCATGACGCTGTTTGAAATACTGCAGTCCAGGTAACAATAACGCAATAATGGGAGAGAATTGGACAATATCGTCCTGCAGCATCTCTCATTCTCATTGTTGTTTGCGCAGGGCACTATGGGTAGTCCTGAAGCCAGGGACAAGTAAAATTGCTATTCAAACAACTGAATAGTAAATTACTTGCCTTAACAGACTTTAGTAAATATATATATAGGCAACATTAATTTGGGACAAGTCAGTTTAAAAGTTAACGTTAAACCCTGTTATAGGTCAGTGTGTGTTAGTTTTAACTGTATAATTTATTGTTGTTTCTACATGTAGGTCGGTGTATGCTAGTCATGGCTGGTTAATATTAATTGTAAAATTTTGTTGCTGTTTGCAGGTCGATATGCATTAGTTGTAGCAGGTGATATAGCTGTGTATGCCACTGGTAATGCTAGGCCTACTGGTGGTGCTGGATCAGTAGCAATGCTTATAGGACCTAATGCACCATTAGTCATAGAAAGAGGTAATTACAGTCTTCTCACGTTGTTGTTAATGTGTTCATTTCAAAACTTTATTGTTGGAGAGAATATCTCATCACCAGGGATTTTTCATATAGCGAGTCCCAATGAGAAAAATACAAGGAATTGACAATATATTATGTATACCTATATCTCTTTATCAAAAGTAGGATCCATTCTTGGACTAAAGTAGAGAAGTAGAATATCCGGGTAACACGCTCCCGCTCGTCATTGTAATATTTAATACTGATTTATGATTTACTGATTTTACTGATGAGTCACTAACTGAAATTTTCACTGATGTGAATATTTGCAATTTTCGTTGACAGTCTCTTGTGATATTAAAGCAGTAAGTTACCCAGATATATACACAAAAATTACTTGTTTCTAAACCCCAACTGATTAACTGAAATAAAACTGGACTGTCAATGTGTGTTTTAGATGAGTTAAACTGTCATGTACACCATGGACAAAAGTGATCTTGTTAGAATTGTAAACTATTACACTTCTTAATATAAATGCTATCCTGTGTATTTATTCTCTTAGGTTTGAGAGGAACACATATGCAGCATGTTTATGACTTTTTCAAACCGGATTTATCATCTGAATTTCCTGTTGTCGATGGTAAACTCTCTATACAATGTTATCTAAGTGCGTTAGATAAATGTTATCAACGATACGCTACAAAGGCGGAAACACAAATGGTAAAAGGTAATGTACAGTAGCAATTAAATCGCTGGTAGCATAGTGGTAGTTCTCGTCACAATCCGTAAATCCAAGTTCAAATCATAGGGTTGAATGCTTAATATTGTTGCTATAACGTTGCCGTAACGTCATTGTGATAGAAGACGGCCACACAGCTCTTTTGCATAGTCAAAAACATTGAATGTGGTTTATGTGGCAAAATGCCCTATATGTACACTTGCAATTTACGCAGTAAAAAAAAGTTAGGAGTTATAACAATGACAATCAATATGTGACATTCGTCTACTGTGAGATCTAGCATATTGCATGAATGGCACGTAACGTCTGCGGCAAAAAAAAGAATAAACTATTTGATTTTGATTTTGAATTTAATTTTTTTTTATAGCTCAATGTTGTAATTCTAATATTTGAAGAGGGAAATATTGTGTTGAGATATCAAATGATGTGTATAGCACACAAATACTGTGGAATACTTTATTTTCGCTGGAATTAATTTTCGCTGAAAAGGCTTTTTGGGCGTTTTGCTTGGAATTTATTTTCACTGATTTTTCATGAGTTTAATGTGAAATATAGGGAAAAAAGTATATTCACTGGATTTTATTTTCACGGAATCATCCCTTCAGCGAAAATAGCGAAAATAAAGTCCAAGCGAAAATAAAGTATTCTACAGTATATAATATACATGTATATATATATAAAAATATATATGTTGGATATACCGGTATAATACCATCTTCATTGTCTAATTACTCAATTAAAACTGAAAGCAAGCCAAATAAACTGCATCTATACCTTAAGCGTGGCAATACCCTGAAATACATTCGCATAAATTTTGGGTAATTTTACATAAATTTGTCATGCATTGCAGTATGAAATGTGTCTTCTTTCCTATATTGAGCTGTGTGATTCCATTATAGGAATGGCCTACATTCATGTATGGGCGGGATTATCAATAGTACAAAGAATGTGAATTCACAGCTGCTATATAAATCTTTTAGCCTTATTATTTCTTGATAAATCTGACAGTAGATAAAATGTTCCTTTCTAATATTGTTAAATTCAAGTAGTGTTTTTTTATTTAAATATATTTTTTGATGCCAGATGACTAATATATAATTTCAATTATCTCTTTGTTAGTGTGTGTATTATGATTGCACTGACGATACTTATAGCAAAGAAAGCAAATGTTATGTTTTAGACTATGTGACAAGGCTGTGTGACCATATTCCTGTGGTATTATGGAAATTTAAAATGCTCTAACTATGAACCTAAACCATGCTTGAATATGTTAGTTATAGTGGTTATAGTCTCCCCATTAAGCCTGAGACACTTCCCCAGGGTAGGGGTCAACCCCATTTTGGTTGGTAAATCTAGGATGGATTTTGACTACTAATGATCGCAATGTTGTTTGCTAACAACTTGGATTTGGTAAAAACGTAAAATATTAGATATGAACACTTTGAAAGTCTCAATACACTAAGTCATCTGTTGCTGTGTTTTCTTCAATTACAACCTTTTTTTAGAAATCTATCAAGGATTATATACACATTTATGTATATTTCTTGTACATCTATTTACCGTAAAATTGATAATTTCAGCGTAATTACAGTCTAATTACTTATTTACCATATTTGCTCTATTAGTATTAGTAGTATTCAAAATAATTCATATTTTGATGAACCATTATTGTAATAAATACAATTCATTTGTGCTCTTGGAAAGTAATTACAGTATGTCTGATACATATGCCTTTGATTCAATGAAAGTCTCTTTAAACTTTTCACCACAAGTTCCCTCTTTTCATCACAAATCACAAACAAGTCTCCTGTCTGCATTTTCCTTAAGAAGATTGGGGCAAAAATAGCTAGATTTGTTGAGGAACAATGGGAATTGACTTAAAT